CCTTGAATGGTTCCTACTGCAATGCCAAGAATAACACCAAGCAAGAGAGGAAACCTACTCAAGTGAATCTGGAAATCATTTGAAGCAGGAACCAAATATAATTGGGTGTTTTTCTTAATGGCATGCTAAACTACATTAGCAAAAGTGATGTGACTTCACCAATGTGTAAGTGTATATAAAAGCTTAATGTAACAATATTTTCAGAATGTCTTCACCTGAAGACATTTTTAAAGCTATCTAGGATATGTTAAATAGACCATATTGGTAGCAATTCATTCATAACATTTTTAATCTTCTTTCTTCTGGAATATACATGTTCCTGCAACCAGCTGACAGAAAGAAACAGAATAGCCCTCAAGACACCTACCCATATGCTTTCACCGTAAGATTGCCTGGGAGCAGGGGTGTTAAATTTGCAACCTGCCAGAGTGGTCCACCCCACTTACAATTGGCAGCCTCCTCCACAAGGGAAAGCATGGCAAGCTGGACAAATTGCTCTAGCAGTAATAACCAGCTCGCAGCCACCACCTTCCAGGGTGAGGGCAGAGAGAAGGCAGCTCACCAGCTGCCATGGCAGCAACAAGGCAACGGAAACACAGGAGTATAACCTGCACTTGCACGTTGTAGGTGCGTACACAAAAAGTCCAGCATTTTGAGACTGCAGAGCTGCGGGATATACAACAGCCAACTGCTCTGCACAGGAAGCAAGCTGCATCCAGTGGTTTCATGGCTCCACCACTGCTGCTTGGCCAGAAGGGCTGACCCCTTGTGTTTGTGGACCACCTGCAATCTCAGGCAGCGGAGGAAAAGCCACCGTGGCAGGTTTTTGCTCCATAGCTGAGGTAGGTAGCTAAGGCTTCCTTTACCTTCAGCAGACATTGACATTTTCAGGACTCTATTCACTTTACTATTTTAGGTATCTACTTTAAGGAGATGAACTGCACCAAGATCCCATCTTTCCTCACCAGCCAGAGAAGGAGCTCTGACTACTACAGATGCAGATAGCTACAGTAACTCAAACTGACCCACTGTGGACATCGTTACCTGCCCAGCTTCAGAAGTCAGGCACACAAAATATGCTGGTAAACTAATGGGCAAGACTTGAGCTGCCAGGACAGAGATGACACTTCCCGTATCAAGGATTTTGGTTTTGAATTCACCTTGGGTAAAAAGTTAAAAAAGGAAGGAAGTACATGGCTGTACAACTCCACTGGTTGTCTGGGATGGCGTGCACTATTGCAGGCACCGTTTGCTGTGATCTCTGGCCCTGTTGTCCGCTGGCCATTCAGTGAAAGAAGTTACTCAGGCATTGGGTTGCCAAAATTTTGCTGTCACACAGACCAAAGCTCACATTTATCAAGATTAGAAAACCTGTGCTTCCCTATTCACCCCTTCCCAAAAGCAGTTATGTGGAAAGAAAGGACTGGTACTGAAAAGCTGTGATTAAAATTTAAAATCTGACCTCATGCATACGCTGAATTGTTCCAATTTCTTGTTCTAGCCGTCAGCAGTTTTTCTTTCTTTTTTTTATGGACAAGATGACCCTTTTCACAAGGAAAAAGAAAAACGTTCAAAAAACCTGATGTAATTTCCATAAAAAACACTACCAAAACTCAACTAAAAATCAACAATTTTAATCTTGGAACAACCACCTTTTTACAAAGAGATTTTAAAGATCGAGTGGACATATTCACAAAAGCAACAAACTAAGGCATATTCTCCATATCCATGTTTAGAAATTAAAGACTTTGAAAAGCTATGTGACTTGACCTCCTTTAAACCTCGTCAAGACACAAGCAGTAAAAATTTTAAATGTTTGACTCACTTTTACATGTAGTGGACTGTCAGTTTATACAATTATCATGAGTATGAACTAGATTAATTTTAAATCACTGAAACAAATACTCTAGTAAAAGCATGAAGCTTAGACATTATTTTAAAGTGCTCATTAGAAACCCAACATTCCGATGTTAATTAAGAAATGTTAAAGATATTACATTTCTTACATATTGAGTCTGAAAGTACAGTATGTACACAATCTACAATCCTGTCTTTATAAATAGGAAATAACTTATCTATGTATTTCAAACGTGACTAGTAGCTGAAGGGAAGCTGAAAGACTATTTCAATTTGGCCAGAAAAAGACAAAAACCAGAACAGTCATCCCATACATACAGCTATCGGAACTCTGCATTCCAAGCGCTGCCATTTTGGCCCATCTCCTTGATTAATTCTCTTTACACCCACTCATGAAGCATCTGCCGGTGCGTTGCCAGTAGAGAATTACAGCATCTCTCTTGTTATGAAATTGCTTGGGTCTCTAGAACTGGCAAGGCTGCTGCTAAGAGAAAACACAATGTGTCATAAGTCCCTTAAACAGAAGAAATACGCGCTGCAATGTATTACAATTTGCAGAGATAAAAGAACTCTGAACTAGACTGTCAAACAATAAAAATTTGGATGTTTATTTTATTTTTGAATTAATTGTAGTGCTTATAAAAAAATAAACCAGAACTAATTCAAAGGCATCTGTGACAAATTTAAAAGCTTACATCAGCCTTCTTATAAAGCCCTAACCAGTTCCTTTCAATCCAGAGCTACAGTATGTTTCCTAGTCAAGTCTCCTGTCCTGACAGGAGCTAATCAAACCTCTCCATCTCACTACCAGTCCTATGTGATTTTGACTTAACAGTTTTGCAGCGGGTGGTACTACCCTGTGCACAGGTTAAGCCTGCTTCACACAGGACTAATACCAGGTATCTGTGAAATGTTAGTATTGTACATCACTGTGCTCCCCACAGTGCACACACTTTTCAACAGTCACCCTCAAAGTACAACATGACAAGTTTTCGAAAATACAAACAATCTTAAAATGCGGGACCCAAGAGTGTTTATGAAAGTACAATAAAAAATACTTAACCTCTTCTCATTGCTTTTCATTTCTCAGCTGCCATGAAGGGCAACGTTTCATGTTTTTCCCAGTCTTTTCACTGATTTTGCAACTGAACTTTCTGATTTTCAGACAGATACTGAAGTATACCCACTCACATATAATAACATGATTACAGTACAATCAAAATCCGTAAAATAAAGTAATGGTGAACATTCTGTAAGTGGAATTTTAAATTTTGGTCAACATTTCTGCTAGGCTAAGGCAAAAATATGCTGTACAAAATCACTTTAACATCTGCAGGAATAAGCATCTTGCTTACTTTAGCCTCAGCTTAGTGTGCGGTCAGCCTGAACTATGCAATTTCTTAAAAGAACAGGTAGATAGGAAATTGTAAAGTTGTATTTCTTCCCTACTTGTACCCATTAGCAGATTCTTCCCTTGCAAAACAGCATTCATGTGAAAAAATTTACTGTGGCGCCCAGAAGAGTTGAAGGCAAACACATGTGTATGGGCAACAAAAGCTGTCAAGGTGACAAACGATTCAATGGACTGCTTTCTTCTCCACCTGCAGCAAGCTTGAGTGTTGTTAGCTTTCGAGGGGGATGCTGAGGACTCTTACGAAGGTTGTCGTCCATCTGTAGAGAAATAATGAGAGCCGGATGTGGCAAACAGTAGAATATAGATTATACAATTAGTCTATTTGTCAAGGCTCCCACCATTAATGCTGGTTTGGGGTATTTTTCACCCTGTTATTTCAGGCCCAGACAAAACTGATGCCTTGGTCCTTTCCACTCCCAAGTATATGCTTGTGTTAGAGCTGCTGTTCATTCCATTGGTATATGGTGCATCAAACGCAGGGCAAACAGGTGTGCTTCTGTGCAAATGATTTCACTGAGATTACTAAGAAAGCAATATTGCTACCTTCTTCTAGGAGGTCCTTCTAGGAGGTCAAAGTTTCAATTTTGTACAATAGCCAAATGCTGCTAGAAAGCTAATCAAAAATCAAAATGCTAACTTCAATGGATGCTTTTGCATGCTCAGCACCTTCCAAGAACAAATCTTTTTCAAATTAGAAATGTTCTGGAGGCACTGGGTGAATTTAGATTAGTTACAGATTTCAAAAAGTATTTAATAAAGAATTTGTGATAAGGCCTTTTCAAAGACAGGTTAAATTTAATCTCTGAATATAAAGATTTTACGTTTTCATGGAAATCCATCTAATGCCCTGCACATCATGTGGTATCACAAAGAGTCTAGTTACTACAGAATAAACAGAATCACTGAAGACAGCACAGGGGAGATCTCCAGAGGTTGTCCAGTCCATCCCATTTCCTCAAGGCAGGACCAGCTTTACCTAAATCATGCCTGACAAACATCTACATAACCCATTCTTTAGAACTTCCACAGCCACACTTCAATACCACAAAGAGGAGACTCTATCAATACCTAATGCTACAGAAGCTGATCACAGTTAATGGATCTATTTTGTACACCAATCTTTTTCAGGCAGAAATGCCTTCTATTCTTCTAGTTAAAGTGTTCAATCTGCATCAGAAGACTAATTCTTCACAAGTATTTTTCACATGATTTACATAGTTTTTTGATATGTGCTGAGTGACAGCCTTAGAAACAAAGAATATAGAGAAATAAAAACTAGATGTAGAATAAGCAGGAGAAAGAGTGACTGTAAGTTAGTGCCTACAGCATTCAGCTGGGAACAAGGAGAGCTGGTGACCGGTCTTATCTTGCAGTACCATTTCCGAGTTTTGATCAATACATTTGCCTCCTCCTTTGCTGGAATGTACGTTTGCGGAAAGACACCCTTCTTTTCTTGGTAAGCACACTTGCAAGACAATGTTCTTTTGATTGTAATAAAAATACTTTTTAAGTACAAGGCTTCATTAATTATTCCTTTCAAATCACATAAAATTCTTCCTGCCTGGCTACACAAAGTAACTCACTGGAAAAGAAGCAATTAAAATAAAATGTCCATTGTACAGTTGCAGTTGTCATGCAAGAATATCTGTGAACAAGTAACCACAATGAAGCAGACTGAAGCAAAAGTAACCTTTTCAATCAAGTTGGATTCCTTATTTACAAGCTGTGTGAGTTTCTGCAGATTAGCATCTGCTGTATCCTGTCCAGCTGGAGAATGGCCTGGAGAGTGAAGGCAGAAAGATGAAGAGTGAAAACGTATTTACAAAAGCTTTTAAATCCTTAAAAAATTATCTCACATTTGGGAGAAAGTTCATGCAGTATTTTCATCCTAAGAAGAATTTAAGCGGAAAAGCCATTCCATGTGAGAAAAATAGAAGTACTAAGCATGAGCCATAGCATAGATGCAGGTGCATTTTGCCAATGCTTGACAGAGTCTAAAACTGAGTATTAACCCCTGCTTTCAATTTTCAATCCTTTTTGCACAACTTTGGAAGTTTCTCTACCTCATTTCCCCACAGAAGCTCTAGCATAAACCACATAAAATCTAATTCTGCCTGGGTTCACAGACGGAATCTTGGAGTCCTAATTCAAACAAGACTATACATGACAAAAAGGGAAAAAGAAACACATCTTACCTGAGACAGTTAACCTGAAGTAGCAAGTTAAAATATCATCACAGAATCGACACAGATTGGGAAGCTGTTTCAAATGCTCTTGTAATTGTACTCTGGGGAAGCACACTTTATAAATTGGTGCAAGGAAACCAAACACAAAGGCATCCAAGGTGGTAGGCCTGCAAACAGTGACAAAACAAAACAAAAAACCAAGGCAACTGAGGTAAGACATTAAGATCTCTACAATGTAACCATTTTCTGTGTATGTCAAACTCAGGACAGAACATAATCAGCTCTTGTGGCATTTTGTCTTTTCGCATCAGTCTGGTAAATACTTTGTACAGACTATCTACTGATTTCAGCACCTCTGAACTAGAGACATGCTGGCAAGCTGGAACAGTAACTTCAGCATTAAAATCCAGTCATGTTCTCACATGCATGGATACACAAGCCAATCTAAAAGACATTTCTGGCACCACAAAAGCCAAGCTGTATGCCAGGGGACTAGGATCCTCTCTCATGAAGCGGTCTGACTTCAGTGGCTAAAGGAAGAGATCATCCTTTTTAGTACCTGTTGGCGCTATGTTGTTGGCAATATCTGCTTCCTGGGCAGTGCACATACCACAGGAAAAGGAGTGTTTCTGAACCTACACCCTCATCCCATGAAAGCAATGGTAACACCTCAGGCTTAAAGCATTTTTTTCTATATACAAGCGCAAGTGACATTCAGTGGCTAGAAAAGCATTTGCTAGTTCTACACTATGTCATCAAGCACCCCACATTTTCTTAGCAGCTGTGGGCAGCATCTGCCACTCTGTGACAAAAAGACAGGGTAAGGGAGACACTGCATTGCCTTAGACCAAAGATCTCATTTGTGCCCTGTTTGCTCATTCAGATTTATCTGAGACGCAAAGCAAGAGTGTGAGACATGAAACTACTATGCAGCACTTTTAACATTCTGGCAGGTGAAATAAAAAAGTTTAAGTGTTCACAGAGTCGCGTGGTACCCACCTTATTAGTCATTAAAAAAAAAAAAAAAAAAAATCACACTCACGTATCTCCAAAGAAAAACTGAGATGTTCCCAATCTCTTCGACAGGAGATTTAGGCACTCCTTGGCATCCCTGTATATCTGATGAGACACAAGACTGTCTAAGAGCCCTAGATGTAGCAAGGCTAGTATGCACAGCATCATTCATTGTTGACAGTGTGCTAGACTGTTTCAGTTCTTGTCTTTTGACAGCACCAACTTACAAATTCTTTACTGCACAACACATACCTGTGCTTCCACTTCAGAGAGACTGTAGAGTGGAGGCCCTCCCCTGGTCAGCAAGATCCTGTTCAGCGCTTCCCTGGACATCTTTCCAGGCAGATACAAACTCAGTGGGAAGGCAATCCTTGAGGCAAACCATGGTTTTGTCACACTGCAGTAATTTTCAGCCTCAACCCAGAAAGTGTGCAGCTGTATCAACACAAGAAAAATATGACTTAAATTTGAGTAAGAATAGATATTTCTCAAGAGTTTGACATGCAAGATCTCAGCCAGAGAAGCAGAAGTACCAGGAATTACTGTCATTTCAGGCAACTGGGCTCTATAAAGGATTATACTAATCCTTTGAGTGTAGGACTATATAATTAAGGCAACAGCTACCTTCCACCTAAAGAAAAACAGCAAAGACATTACACAGACCTATATACATGTGTATAAAATTACATACACAGTCATGTTTATGTGTGTGTGTGTGTATATATACACATTCATACACACACACTGTACCTAGAAAATACATTACAAAAGAAGTTGCAAATGTACAGGATCAAGTTTGAATTTTCTAGATTTTTAAAAATTTTATAAAAATCTTAAAAGAAAATATATTACAAAATTATGAATTTGAAAATTTGTGGGTCAGCCGAAGAGGCTAGCTTATGGTATCAGCTGGTCAGAATATTTTTTCCTGTACAAACTGAAGCCAAAGTCATTCAAGAGATCCAATGTCCGGGGATTTTTACAGCTGTAATGTACTCACATTAAATTTCACAGAATCACAAAATCACAGAATCACTAAGGTTGGAAAGGACCTTCAAGATCATCAAGTCCAACCATTAACCCAACGCCACCATATCCCCTAAACCATGTCCTGAAGTGCCACATCCACATGTTTTTTGAATACTTCCAAATGATGGTGACTCCACCACCTCCCTGGGCAGCCTGTTCCAATGCTTTGTAACAGCATGTGGCCATGTGTTATTTAGGACTGAAAAATGAAACTACTGATGGGTATTTTAATTTCTCAAAAGTTCTAACTGAACAGTTCAAAAGCTTTCCACAGTTGTGCACCCCACATCAGGCATAAGACATCTCACTCAAAGATTTTTCAAAGAATCAAATGAAACAAGAAAACAGTATATTGTGGCTGTTTTCAGGATACCGTTTCCCAAAAAGCATCTGAAAGAAAAAACATTTTAAAACGTTTTAAAATGTCTTTCATAAATTCACTCCTATTACGTCACACCCCACAGACAGACACTTCATTCCACTTCAAAAGCTGCCAGGCTTTTTCCAAATTTTCCAAAATTGGACTAACAAAGCAAACAGATTACAGCCAGGACTATAGCTGAGAGACTTTAATGTCTCTCATGGCTGGACACCTCTTGTAGCATTCACTTCCAAAAATTCTGACCATTATAAAGCATTTCTCAATACTTACAAGAGCAGGAAGCAGTTTCTCTTCAAGTAGTGCAATATATGCCAGTGTATCAGCTCCTTGTTTGGCAGACAATTCATAATCAGCATTGTATTTCTACGAATTAAAAAAAATTACATACTACAAATACTTTTACACAGAACTTTCCAAAAAGATGACCAATGCAACTTGAAGTTGCTTCAAACTTAACAGCTATCAAGTTAATAAACAGAACAACACTTCTCAGGACAAAAAGCACACACTCACTAGAATTTCTTTGCTTCTTCAGGCAAGCTGTGTCAAACCTCTTTGCGTTTTCCTTTTCCAATTTTGCATTCTTAGATTTCTGGGCCCTCCTACTCCCAAAACAACTCTTGTGTCTCCTTCCCATTGCTTCCCAAGCAACTGTCCAGTGATACAGAGCCAATTTTTCAGTACTTAGGGATGTAGCAAACCTCTACTAAGTTCCCACCTTTATTTCTGAAGAAGCACCTGGCACTTAAGCTGGTGTAAGCATAAAAAAAGGCAAGCATTCCCATCTTTTGCTTTTAACTACCATTCTAGAAGTTTAGAAGTTGGATGCTAACAATATAAGGGAACAAAAGCCCAGCTAAATTAACGCAGTTACTGCTGACTGACCTTTTAATTATGACACTGGATCCTTTTAAGGTACATTAAAAAGGCTGGTAAGTTTTTTGGAGAGAGAGGAGATTTGCTTCATTAATTCAGAAACAAAGCGTCAGTGCTGACCCTCAGATATCTGAACAGTAAACATATTATTGTTATACTTTCAACTCAAAGAGGGTTTTTTCCCAACATTAAGGCATCTTTGATATGCAAATGGCTATGAAACTTCTAAACTTTAAAACAACTGTCTAAAATTCCATCTCAAATGTGACATTTTCAGATTCTGGTTTTCTCCCCTGAAGATTTAAAGTTTCACTAACATAGCAGTCATCAGATAATCTTCTTGACTACAGAGGAACTGAATTTCCAATGTAAAAGCAGAATACTGGGCTGAAGGACCATCTTAGAAATAAAAAGATGATGCCATGCTTTCTTAAACATCTTTTTACTTTGTGAAAAGAAGAAACCATATAGCTTTATTCTTTGTGAATAATACATTAAGAGATCTGCAAAAGGCAAGCAGGAGGTGACTACACAATAACATGACGTGCATCAAGAAATGCTTGCAGACATTTTTACGCAACAAGCTATAGAAAAAATAGGTAGATTAAAAACAACGCTGTATGTGTTATCCTTCAAAAAAAGCACTGGGAGATGATTACCCACTTGAGCGGTTAAAACAACACTTTCCAAACTGTGATATCCTAGGTCTGCAAAGCCATAATGATGTTAAAAGTGTTGGAATCAAGAGTTTCTCAGTGAGAAACTGCTCAGTTAAGGCCAGTTTGTTATCCTTTTCAATGAACAGCTTTCTCGTGCCTTTTTTTGTATCTTTCACATAACTAACAATCCAACTTTGAAACAGCAATCTCTTATCCACCATTTTGCAATTCTCATGCATGTATGAAAAATAGGAAAGCACTAGGTCTGAACTGAGTTCTAGGTTTTCAGAGGTCTGTATCAATGTATACAGGAGACATGCAGAGTCAGTACAAGGCAGAGAACACAAATCTTTTGAAAGAGACCAACCTGCTTTCTTAAGAAGTTTAGTATTTTTGCTGGCTGAGAAATAACAATGTCTTCTGATATCAGGACTGGTACATCTCCTAGAAGGAATGAAAAATACATTCAACAATTTATATGGATGAGTTCTAACATAATCAGAAAGCAATCAGTCACTTCATTTACTTCCCTTTTCTCCATAGCATGCTCTGATCTTCCTAACATGTATGCATAACCTAAGCTTTATATAGCAGGGGAGTTCTACCAAGGTCACAAACACGTTTAGTGTACTGTGGTCTTCACTAATAACAATACATAAAAAAGGGCCCACATCAAATCAGACTGAAGTCAATGTCTTCTGCTAGATTTTTAGAACCAAGCTACTTGTCTGGATTTCAGATGTTCATCTTAAGACAAAAAAATCCAACCCAGTCCAACTGTCCTCTCGACTCATTTACCTCTGGACCTCTTCTTCCTCCACTCCAACTTTTCCCTGCCCTTCCTCTCCAAATCCATTTTAGCAACCTGTTTTCTCTAGCCTTGCTACAACCACTGCCCAAGCTACCTGCTGCATAACCATAAAGTATTCCAGAACCAAGTACTTCCTTTCTGCCAGAAGCCTACTGGTCAGCCTTTATTCATCAGATTGCAGGATCAAAGTGTAAAATCTCTGTAACAGGGGCCATCTTACAGCACAGACAGCATGTTCACAATGTAACTGCCACAATGAGCCTAACATGACTGTGCTGCTAAATACTATTAAAGTATCAATGATCAGCAACACTTACTATTTGGATTTTTTAAAATGGATTTTATGTATTTTGGCTATGAAGATGTCCCTGCTCATTGCAGGGTCATTGGACTAGATGATGTTTAAAGGTCCCTTCCAACCCAAACTATTCTATGATTCTAAGAAACCCACTGAACTTTTGGCAAGTACACCCAGGCTAGTTCTTGGTATTTTCTGCTAGCAGAAAACAATACACTGAAAAGCAACAGTCAAAGGCACAACTTCTGCATGGATACAGTAATGCCTAAACTGATGATGTGGTAAGTGTAAATGACAGAATACTTTAACCCTGCAGGGATTTTTACCTCTCTGGAACACACCAAGACAGTAACTTAAATGCTGAGCAAACAGATAAGCAGTAAGTAGAAGTATCCAACATGAAGAAGTCCCCTCCAATACCTTATCTTGAACTTCTCTGGCAACTAGGCTGTTAGTCACCTTTTCTGAGTCAATCTCTGTAGCTCAGCACAGAACTAAACATCCAGCTGGTGCAAATTATACTCTTTGAGGCTCACATTCCAATTCCAACTGTACCAGCCCATTAAATTATGTATAATTGAAGAACACAATTTCCATACACGTCTAGTTACTATCATTATTACAATTCCAACTGTACCAGTCCATTAAATGGTGTATAATTGAGGAATACTATTTCCATACACAAGCCTAGTTACTATCATTACAAATATGCAAAGTGCAAAAAGCTTAAAAATTTGCTTTCACTATACCATCAATTTAGACTGCCTGACAGAAACAGGTGTGTACTTGGCACCACTGCTTTGTTGGCTGTCCGCTGCTTCATCCATACACATTTTAAAAAAATTATCCTTTGAGGCACTTTATTTATGTTTTCTATTATTTTATTCCCACAAACTCATTAGACTTGATCCTACATTTACCAATGTATCGTGAAAGCAGGTAGACTTCACTGGGGTGGGTTACACTCATAAACACAAAAACAAAGCAAACTTGAAAACAACACAGAAATTGGAACTCACGTTTATAACATGGCTATGATTAAAAGAATAAAAAATGCAAAGATGGTACCTTTTGGAGGTCTCCAAGAGTTACTTATAGTATTTACTGACAGGGGAGCACCAGAAAATTTGGCGTAAGCCTGCAACAAAGGTTGCGGGTAAAAAAAAAAAAATCCAGTCACTATGTGTAAGAAAAGTGTAAGACAGCACTTTGAAAGTTGTTTTAAACTGTTTCAGACACAAGACCGACTAAAAGCAAATGCGCTGCTTAAATGCTTCAATGCCGTAACGCGTTTGTAGGAAACGCCGCCCGTGAAGGCCGGGGCCAGGTAGCCCGCGGGAAGGCACGACGCCCTCCCAAAGGGCAACGGCCCTGCCCGCGGTTCCCCGGGGGGAGGAC